GCTTTACCACAGTTATGGTCCCTTTCCCATCGCTGTCCACGTCCTAAATGACTAGTGATGCAAAACTACATTTCCTTTCATAGATTAAATGAAGCACAGCTCACATAACCTTGAAGCAACCTGCTGACGTCAACCGAGGCCAATACTGGAAACAATGACACACATACAGCACATGTAGCAAACACGTATATGGAAACTATTCAATATAGAGTAAACATGCTGTACTTTAAATGCAGTAACGCAGCAGGACAGGACTTTTGTCTTGTGTTTTTAAGTGTGAGAGATTCACCAACATCTCCGCACAAGAGGAATTAAATTTGTCTACTACTAGCTAAGGTACAACCATGTGATTCCAGAGGAGCAAATACACTTTCCTGGGAGATTTCTTACATACTTGGTTTACTATTTATAACAGCTATAGAAAGACTGGTTATATAGGGAATATTCACCAGAGACTGAGTAACTTACAAAATGATATGTTAGTCCATTTTTAAATCAACACTAGTTAGTTATTAAATTATACCTGTCAGTGATAGAAAATACAGTGAGTCAAGAAAAAATGTTTAAAAAAGGGTGGAAACTGCTCCTAAATGTGCATGAGACTGTGATTATTTCTTAAGGTTTCATGGCTACAATAATTTCTTGAAAGAAAATACCAAAAATAAAATTGAATAGAATAAAAACACTGACAGTGTGTTTTTTTTTTTCAATAAAATAAGGTTGTCTTCTGTTGAACAAAAAAAAAGTTAAGGTGGCCCTTAACAAGAGTAGAGGGTGTGTCAACACTGGAGGAAAAGCTCAAAAGGGCTGGAAGGTCCCTATTTAAAGTAATGAAAACTACAATTCATACTTTTATGTGAGCGAACACTCACAAAAGCATCAGTAATTGTATTTATATCTAATTCCTGCCAATAAAAACGGAGTATAAAACAATTTTACCTGAATTTTACACAGAGGACCATTAGTGTAGCTACAGCTCCAACGGTGGTAATATTTTCTGTTTTACCAGTAATTGAACAAACATGTGGAACATTACCTGAAAGAGGCTGCACACGAAACATTTTGCCTGAACTTTGCAGCTGTTTTTTCAGCTCATTATTTTCGGCTAAAAGGAAAAAAAAACAGATGAAAAACCAGAAGTGCAGCAGGAAAAATTAGAATTTATTTCCACCAGATGACCACCAACACAACCCCACAAAAAATAGAAATTATAGATAAATTAAACATCAAATGGGAATGCAGTTACTATAAAATGTGACGTGAAGCTAGTCCTAGCCGGTCGCAGTAACGTAACACCACAAGTAAATTAAAACCATAACACTGTCTAGGTTTTACCACACACAGAGGTGAGTGGTAAAACCTAGGCAGACTAGTCTTCCCCTTCTTCTCTAACCAGCCTCACTAATGAAGCAGAGACCGGCCTCTTTTGTTATATTAACACACCGTGGCATTCCACAAGGCTCCGTGTTGGGGCCAATCCACAAACGCTCTCATGACAGCTCATTATCATCCGTTGCCGACTGTCTCTCTACCTTTAATTTTCCCTCAAAGATCATTCTTTCTGGCAGGTCCTTATGCTACAGCCCGAGCCAGACTTTAACCATTAGGGGTCTCATTGGATGTGAGACCTTTAAGACCCGTCTCCTCCTCTGTGTGACTGGGTGGCAGAACCGCTGACAGCTAAGGCTGATACAGGGATTCTCCCTGAATGTTGCAATTCACAGTATCCAATCATCCAAGACTTTTTGCCTTGATTCAAAGAAGCTGACAGCGTAGGTCAGCATTGTGGGGAAAGGTTAAGAAAATGTAAGAGCATTTGTGATTGACAGCCCTGTTATTTGGCTGATGTGGCTCCTTCTGCCTCTCCAGGTCTTTTGTAAGTGGTACAATTTAAAGTCTGTACAACGGTCCTAAACTAGCAGTTAAGTCCATTATGAGCAACATGCGACTGCAGCAGAAAGAATTAACTCCTAACCTTAAAGTAAGTGCTGGATTTGAAAGTAAAAATAAGTTTGAATTGCATAAATGTAAAGGCTCAAAAATGTGACTTTCCTTCTGCTGTGAGTCTTCAGACATGAATATATATTTAACACCTGCTTTTCTCACCTGCAACACATCATTTTGATTTACCAGCTAATATTTTTCTGCAGCCTGTGGAGTCATAATTAGATAGAAACGAGCAGGTTGTTAGAAAGGTTGAATTTAGCAGCAAATACGCAGCTCTTGCTGAGACACAAGCCGTCGGAAATTTCAAAACCATTAAACAGTTGACTTAATAAAGAGAAATCACAGATTTCAGAGTCACAAGGAGAAAAAAAAAAGAAGAAGAAAAAGAAAGCGTCTGTTCAGTGTGATGACGGTCAACGCGCTGCTCTAAAGCCTGTAATGATTTAACCGTGTTTGCTGTAGGATCGATGTACGCTGAAAAAGAGAATCCCAAAGCAGAGAGAAGTTTACAGAGCTTTAGCCTGAGGCTAAATGTTGTACAAAAACCAGCAATAGCGTCCCCTGAGATGACGCATATCTGTTGCTCCAGCTGAGCTTGTACTTGTAGGAGGTTTATATCTGCACTGAGGGCTAGCTTTTATTTAAGAAAAGTGCATCCTTCAGGTAACACTGTCAACTATTTATTTTTTTTCTTTGGCTGCAGTGAAAGCAGACAGTGGAGCCATTACAGTTTTGATTCCAGCCATCACCTCCAATATTTGGTTGGTGGTACAATACACCCAACATAAGTGTACTGGAGACAGCTTTACACTATTACCTGTCTTTATATCAGATGGTGTTGATAAACAAAACAACAAATCATGTTTGAAGCAGCACTCTCCTCTCCTATAGGGGGTGCTATAAACACAGAGATAATAGTAATAGAATTTTTCATGTCCAACAACTGCACCTCATGACAGACACTTTAAAGTTAGCTTGCAGTCACAGCATTCATTTTTTTTGGCTTTCAATCTAACAAACATATTGCATTCCCCAAAATAAAAATTGAAAATTTGCACATACAACCCCTGATCTTACCTCTATCTTAAATATCAACTCCATTTTGCCCCACGGCTCTTGACCGAATGTCAATATAAACTTAATTTAAATAACAAAGTGATATTTAAAATACCAGTTTGTTTCAGAATCAGTTTCATTCAAATGCCTCATTGTCATTTAAAATGGAAAGAAAAATATTTGTATTTGTATTTCTGGCTCGTAAACATTTACATCCTGAGATATGCAGGGAAAAAAGAAAAATACAAAGATAGGGCAGGATCCCTGTAATTCTTAAAGCCTATAAAATGGTCTTTATTATGCCATGCGTACTACAATAACATTGAATAATAAATTTGTTAGCACTGAATTGACTTGAAATCGCTCTTATTAGTTTGCCAGCGTGAAATTGAAGTTAATTGACTTTGTTGGGAAAAGCTAAAATAACTTTACCTTCAATTTCCCAACATATTTCCAATATACAGCCTACTTTCCTATTGCTCAGCTTCAGAAATAAGCTCCTCTTGTCCCAGGAGATAATAAATGAATTGAATCCCCACACTCCAACCCCACCAACACCCACCACCCCGCCCCCCTTTCTTATCGGTCATCTATTTTTCCAGAGTAAGCTATTACTTGCTGGGGTTGCTAGGCAACAAGAAATATTAATAGCAGCTATTATTAGACAGGCTCTGCTAGAGTAGTACTAAAATGTGGAAGTGGGAATCATGAATGTGTTACATAAATCTCCAGACCTTTCACAGTGTGTGCAAGTCTCTGTTTTTACGGTGATTTATTGCAATGACGGTTCATTTATGAGAAAAGAGGGTGTGAAATAAGAAAATGGAACATTACCCTGAAGGGCTATTTGAAAATAAATAATTGCGAAGGTGAAACAAAAGCTGTTTAAGACGCAGCGGCTGCCTCTCTGCTTCCTCCTGAAGCGTCTTCTGAATCGGCCCCAAAAAGGTGTGCTTTGTTACAAACAATAATATATGGGTTTCATATAAACATGTTTAAAAGCGTACAGTATATTGCACATATATGCGAGCACAGATACACGGCACTGCCTGAGCAGCCGCTAATGCTAAAGACCACAAAGCAGATCAACAGTAAATGGCCTTTTTTTTTTTACACCATGTGTCTCCAAAGCCAGGAATATTCAGTATAATAATTGCTGGATTGTGGCCTAATCCAGAAGAGTGACATTAATGGAGACCATAGTCCTCCACCATGGAAACAATATAGAGCCCACAACTCCTGCAGTTTGATTCTGAGAATCACATAAGACCTGATTAACGTAGGATAAATGCCACGGATGCTCACATTAAGGCATAAATATTCATGATGGAGGGCAGAGAGGGAAAAAAAGTAATATTTATGTCAGATGAAAGTATATAACGTTGAATAATTCACCATACAGCCCATCTATAATTCAGACTGGTTCGATCATATGATTAAAGCATTTGAATGTGTTCGCCAGGGGTGTTTACATGTTCACTCTTGAAGCATGCTTAACACAAAAAAATCCCTCTACTAGGAGAGGGAGCTTCGTCCTTGGAAACCTTTTGAAAAGAAAAAAGTAGCTGACAAGGGATATTCTCTAGTCCCGTCAAGATTTTTCTATTCAAAACCATCTATTTCTCCATTCCTCCCCCACTGCTTTTTTGCTTTGCTGATCGTAATGAATGAAAATGTGCAGCAGTGAGTTTCTTGCTTCCTCTCTTAGCTCACTTTGAGGCAATGAAATCTGTGAGTGGTGCAGCTGAATAGATATGAAAGAAACTGTGCTGTCAAAGTCTGGATGATAACGAGGCTGAAGCTCTCTCTCTCTCTCTCTCTCTCTCTGTGTGTGTGTTTATAAATGATGCATCTGTAGAATTGTGTCTTTGCTGCACATTTATGTTCATTTGATGCATTATCACAAGATCAATCTATTTTTTTTCTTGTCTACCACAGTACTTGACATTTATAATGACAAAGGTCAGAAGGCCGACCTGTTACACAGCTGTACTCACTGAGTGCATGGGCCCTGAGAGGCGGTGGGTGTCCTGACCCAGCATGTTGGACATCATGAGGGCGGGCAGCTCAGGGTAGGAGTAGGTGTTGAGCAGGCCATTGTGAGGCAGAGAATGGAAAGGATACCCTGACTCATGCTCCATGAGGTGCAGCAGAGACGGGTCAGCGTGGTTCGGAGGTGTGATGGGAGGGATCTCGTAGTCTTCGTCCCCTGCTCCTCCACCGCCGCCTCCTCCTCCACTGCCACTGCTGCCTCTGCCCTGACTGGAGTAGTTCTGGAAAGATGCAGAATGCAGTCGGTCACTGGATTGGTTAATACAGTAAATACTAATATTGTTATTCTTATCAAACACAAATGTATACTGTAGGTGACTGCACTGTAGTGAGGTTGAAGTCATTTTTCTCAGATGTTGTGACTCAGATGTGATATTTTTCAGAGAGGTTTCTCAAAACCAGTTGCTAAACCAATTCATACTGTAATCTTTTAAACTGATGTTCTTACTGATCACTGAAAATACAGTTACATACAATAGAAGTCCAATTGCCAAACTCTGAAATAAATTAAAACATTTGTATTTTTCACTGCAAATGCTTCATGCCACCTACAGGGGGTCTCGTCTTCAGGAACTCCTGCTCTAGAAGCAGTAGATTCAATTTTTTTCTGAGCTTCGTTTAGTCACAGCGATTGTAAAAGAGACATGTCTGGTCTGAGTCGCTACAGAAAGTGTAATCACACTGTCCTGCTGTACAACAGTTTAATGGCAAATTGACTTCAGTTAAAGCACATCAACAACGGATGTTCCAGAGTAATTAAACTCCTTCATAATTGGCTTTTAAACTCACTGTAACTGATTTGTTGTATTTTGCAGCCGCAGCAGCGCTGCACGAGTCAATTCAAAGTGTCTCCCTGAAAATAAAATAATTAGAAATGCAAATGCCTGTGCTCACAAAAGTGCAAAGAATTTATTCTTTCACAGCAAATTAATTAGGAGATAGACAACAGCGGTCGCACTGCAGAGTAATTTGCTTCAGAGCCCTTGACAGCTTTGAAGCAACAAACTGTCAGGCAGCACACCTATGAAATAAAGTTAATCAAATTCATTACAGGAGGAAAGAAAGCAGTGCCATTTGTTTTTTATGATCTCATTACTGTAACGCCAATCACATTTTTTAGAATTGGAAAAATGGGAGTGAGCGAGCCTCACATTTCTCATTATGAAAAGTATCCAGGAGGTTCAAATGACCCCCACTAGGTAAAACAACACAGACTCTATGGTACTAATAAGGTGATACATGAGCAGCGGCCGCCGTCGTTTCCACTGACTGTTTTGACATAATATTACGTTGAGAAATATGGTTTTGTGCTCTCAAAAAGCATACTGAGAGTATTCACTGGGGAATGAAAAGCAATTTTGTCAGAGGCAATCTGATGCCAACTCCCCTTTATAATGACTGAAGAGAATTAATCATCACAAATAATATTCCAGTGTCAGCCATTCAAGAGCTTTTTAATAGAATTTTTATTATTCATGTCTCGTGGTACACATCAACTAGTCCGTTCTGCAACATTTCAGAAATCAATTCAATATCATCTTCGTGTAGGCTGTCATCTCGCCTGCCAGTGCAGCAATTCATCTTGCAAACAAATACTTTTAGCAAACAAATGGCAAGAAATGTCAAAGACCAAATACAAATTCCCAAACAGCAGAACAGGCGCTGGAAGACGGGATAAAGCCTCAGTATCATTAGAGAGAAGTAATAATAATAATCATCATAATAATAATAATATGAAGAAGAAGAAGACGGGTAATAATAGCCGTATTGAGTGGAAGGGTGTTTATGAAATGTGTGATTCACTCACTCTTCTTCCTCTTTTTGTGATTTCCAAGAAACATTGTCACTCAACTTGTTTTTTCCCCCATCATAAAGGCCAAACAGATATCTTGTCAGTCAACATGTATTTAGCCACTGGCCTTTGTTAACAATCAAGAGAAAAGTCTATTCAGAGTGAAAATGTGGAAAAAAAAAAAAAAATTATTATCATTCATATTTGTCAGAAATCCATTGGATTGTATCTATTTTGCCATAAAACTCATCTGTAGTCGCCCTGAAGCAGAATAGTAAAGTGAGTGTAATAACACAAATACTGTATATATTTATACTCCCAGTTATGTCTTTTGGTCAAATGGTCACTGTGATACAGTAAAATGTACAACAAATAACATACAACATAACGTTGGTGTTTATGATGAAAATGCTGTCACTGGCCGTTTATAAAATACTTTTTTTTCTTTGCAGGTTTTCATGATGCCCTTGAAGATAAGGCCCTGTACAAGGACATCACAAGTTTAATGTTTTCAAACATGGATAAATAATTCATAAATGTACAGTCTTTCAAAGACATGAAGATGAGCCAATGAAAGAGAAAGTCAAACTGACAACACCAAATGTTCTCTCAGCCATTGGAGCTTCACCCTCCAACCTCTCCTCACCACCGTCGACCGAGTCGAGAAGTGGTATTTAAAAAGGAACTATATTTGGTCTGTGCCTTAAACGTGTTGAAACCGCCCTGTGAATAGTCTGTGATTCTACATCAAAATGTTACATGGCTCATGATCTCTTCACATAGCTTAGATGTAAGATGTTGCTCTGAGGCATTTTGACTCTCTTTATATACAAAGCTGCTTCCGGTTCTTTGAAAAAAAAAACCAAAAAAACATGAAAACGACAATTCTCACCATGGGATTAATGGAGTTCTTCCACCGTGGGGGGCTTTGACCCATGTGCACAATCATGATTTCAAGGGCGTTTAGCAACTAGCACACATCATTTTAAAAAAATAACTTTTGCTACATTTAAAAACATAACTAAGTTTAGCTAACACTCGGGAGACTTTTTAAACATACATACCTTTTTACAGTATGTGTTTCCCCCAGAAATATTATATCAAAACATCGTACAACGCCTGCCAGGGCTGGTATTTGAACCAGCAATTTACAATGACAAGCCTGAACCTTTAACCACAAAGCTAAGAGCTGGCTCAGGTCTAACCAAAACGCTGTTCTCTGAAGGTTGTGTATGTTTTGCGAGTGAATTGTATACTGTATTTCTTTATGATGATGGTGATATATTTTTTTAGATAAAGTTAACTGCAGGTTTGACTGATCTTGGGATGACGGTTCACTAGCGTAGCGCAGCACAACTGTTTTGTCGCAGATCTACTGCTAATGTGAGAAAGAATAATAACAATCCCAGATATTAAAAATGATTTAGAAAATATTGACATTAGTAAATATATATATATACAGTATATTATAGCATTATTGCTGTTGCATTGACACAGAAACATCCTCACTTTCAAACTGTGGATGTATCTTCTACATACATCACAGAGAATTTAACATCAGCCATGGTTTACCGTTAGCAACTGTCATCCCAGGAAGGAACGCAACATAAACACGAAGGTATTTGAGTTAAAAAAGACTCCGCAATCAAACAGTGCTTCACCTTGTCAAGTTATTTTAAGTAATGAAGTTATCTTAAGTGGAAACAAATTAATCTGCTCAGCTATGAGATTCCCTGACACAAATGAATGGGAAGATGAGATGAAGTCATTAGCTGGGTGATGGAGTCATTTGTGGCCTATGAGGTGTTTAGTGGAAGACAGCTCATCTGGGAACAATGATGTGTTCACCAAAGGGAGGAGAATGAAATTGTTGCACAGTACACCAGAGAGCCTGTCATGGCTGATGAGGGACAAATCGTCCAAAGACAAGAGCTGTCTGTCTTTGATGGACTTTGTTCTTACATTTCTAGTAACAGGCAGACTTTTTTTTTTAATAGAAAACACAGATGATGTTTTGGTCATTAAAAAAAGTTTTTTGTTTCATGAAACTCAATAACTTTGTGTCCTACCAAAAGTCACCCTTCCATATGTTTCTTTGATGGGAAAAGACTGACAAAGCAGTATGGTTGTGGCGACAAACAACAGCTGGCCATGCATTCATGAAGGTCTCTGTGTCCACTCTGTGTTGCAGACATATGGATCTAGTGGTGAATTTCAAATTTCACCTTCAGAGTATGAGGTATGAGGATGGGAATCAAACTTATCACAAACAGGCATCTGACACGGCTTAGAAATGAAGAAAAACTCCATTTGTGTGAGGCATCGACAGAAGCGGACAGTGTGGCACAAAAGAAGGCAAATGGTAAAAGCATGTCCACGCCGCTGACTGACAGCAAGACAGAACTGGAATAAATGAAGTGGAGTGGCAGCAGCGGGGGGGGGGGGGGG